AGGTGAGCAGGACAATGTTATTCAGAGAAACATTACTGGTACATAGAAAACGGGACACCACAGGGAAGCATATTTAGCCCTTTATTATTCTCTGTAATGCTCAATGACATGTTTGATGATGTAGAAATCGAAATGGGAAGGTCGTTATTTGCTGATGATGGAGCTTTGTGGAAAAGTGGGAAAAATTTACAGTTTATTATCAAAAAGGCACAGGAAGCAATAACGACGGTTGAAAAATGGTCAAATAGATGGGGATTAAATTTTCAGTAGAAAAGACCAAACCAGTGACGTTCACAAGAAAAAAAACACTAATAGTGAACTCAGGTTGTATGGAAAAGTGATTGAAAGAGAAAAACAATTTAAGTTTATTGGTATCTGGTTTGATGAGAGACTAACATGGGCAGTGCACATTCAAAAAGTTACTGACATGTAAAAAAATTAAAAATCAAACATCATGAGGTGTTTTAACAGGAAACGACTGGGGAGCAGACAAGAAAGCACAAAGGACCATCTACACAGGATTAATCAGATCAATATTAGATTATGGAAGTATCGTTTATAGCTCAGCTTAAGAAACAAATTTAGAAAAGTTAAACGGTATTCAATATCAGGCATTAAGAATTATTACCGGGGCATTCAAAAACAACACATACAGGATCAATATTAGTAGAAATGGGAGAACCACCACTGAACATCTGAAGAAATCAATTGACATTAAACTACTGGGCAAATCTGAAAGGACACGAACAAAACCATCCAACACAAGAAGTATTAAAACCATGCTGGGAAAAAGAAAAGAAACAGACAAAAAGCTTTGGTTGGACCATAAATAAATTTTTTTTTTTTTAAATCAGTAAAATTCAAATGGATAATCTTAATGTCAGCAACAGTTCCACTTCCAATTGTCCATCCATGGTTACACACAGACCCAACAGTTGATTTAAAAATATAAGCATAAGATAGAAATGGATTAAACTGAAATACAGTTATCGAATACATCAATCAATATTACGGATATGTAAAAATATATACAGATGCATCAAATAATACAGCACAGCGAATCGAGGCAGCATTCATTATACCAGAGTTTGGCGTTAAAGTAGGGAAGAGATTAAACGACAAATTATCAGTATACACAGGAGAAATGGTCACAATGTTACTGGCAGTTCATTGGATAGAAGATAATCAATCATATGCTCAGATTCCAGTTCATCATTAATGAGTTTTAAAAAACCAGTTGTTCAAAAAGCAGACCACTCATACTGACAAATACAGCAAACATTATACAGAATTAAGATGATGGGGTTAACAGTTAAATTTGTATGGATACCAGCTCACATAGGGATAAGAGGAAATGAAATAGCAAAAAAAGTTGCAAAGGAGGCCACCAAAAACATCTCAGTGGAAATGGATTTAAAATTCATTCGGGCAGAAATAAAAAGCATCACAAAGCAGAGAATGAAGGGAAAAATGACTAAAGCAATGGGAAGAAGAAAGAAAAGGGTGATGGTTTTACAGAATTCAACGAAACTCAGGAGAAATGAGAAGAGCTGAAAGAAACAGAAGAGAGGAAACGTTCATATCAAGACTCAGATTTGGACACACAGGACATTATTCATGATAGGGAAACATAACACCGGTAAATTTGATTATACTGTGGGAAATATGAGACTGTAGAGCATGTGTTAATCTGCAAGACTCACTGGAATAAAAGTCAGCTTCAATCCTATAGTTTTGTTACAAGGGAATTCAAGATCTGCAAGTATCTTGTGTAGATACCTGAAACGGACTCAGCTGTTTGAAAGAACATGAGTTTTATTAATTTATTTATTTGTTCATTTCTCCATCTCTATGAATGTTTTTTGAGCGTCATTCCTGTTTACAATCCAAACCAGCAGGTGGCGGTAATGCTTCAAAAAAATTTGAATGCCAACCGCCACAGAAAACCGACGAAGAAGAAGGAAGATTGTTTTTTTTGGGGGAAACTACTTCGACTTCGAGGTGAGAAGTATGCCACTGAAACTTCGATGCTCACGTTGCATTTGACATGTTTTCCGAATAAGTATGAGTTAATGGTTTTAATCTGTAATGTAGTTCAAGTAGAGTTCACAGCTACGCAAAGGTGATTTCAGACTTTGATGAACCGTGTTGGGACCCCCGATAGGCTACATGTTGTCTAAACCGGGGATGCGTAAAATCGTAGAAACAGTGCTGATGAGATGAATATACTATGTGCATGTGGGTAGGAGTACTGTTGACATGCTAACGACATTCACTCCATTTAACTGCCAGAGCCAAGGGTTAGCACGTTAACACTGCTAGCACGCGCCTCCTTTGTGGTGATTTGTTGGAATGGTCTGTTTAAAAACGCTATGCTGTGTTCCATGTCCCTCGGAAGTTTTGTTTTGGATCTGTTGTCTTGGGTGGTCCTCAGGGACGATGCTAACTATTATAAGTATTACAAAACGGAGGCAGTGTAAGTAGTGTATGTATCTGTTTTTAGTCAACTATTGTAGGAATAGTAATGCATAGTTTTTTTTTTCTTGGTGCACGTGACGGCTACCTAAGTTGGATAAGTTCACGAATTCGCTTGCAAAGGCGAAAATTCCGACTTTCAAACGCACCATCAAATGCCTTGAGCGATTCCAGTGTGTAGCATAAGCTAACAACAAGTCGATTGATCATAATTACAAAAAGCCGGTCTTTAGTCAACTACTAGCATACTTTTGCTGAAAAATATTAAGTCCTTGTTAAAAATACCATCTGTCTGCGTGTTCTTGCACGCATGGTGCAAAATATACCTTATGTACAAGTACAAGCTGACTACGTACATAGTAAGTTTGAGCTGCAGGACTGGATCAAATCAACGTGACTGGTGAGTCTGCCAAATCCTGAACCACGGTACGGTTTCTTATGAAGACAACCTGTCAACCACCTACATATAAAGATCCCAGGTCCAAACCTGAGATTGGACTCTGGACCTTTTTGCTGTGAGGCATCAGTGCTAACCACTAATCCATCGTGCTCCCTCCATTTACACGCATTTGTAGTTTATCTTCTTCTTTTCTTCAGTTTCATAGGTATTGTTTTTGTGTGCAGGACCTTATTCAACCCTTAAATGTGCATTAAAAAGTTGGTTGGATTTTTAAATCTCTTGTGAGAACCTCTATAATTTCCTACAAATCCTGACCCCAAGCTTTGCTGTTATCGTTTCACACATTTGACCCATGACACATAGGACATAGATGGGCTTTGGTCTGTGGATGCATGAAGACATTGTATATGTGGTAGGTCATGTCAACAGTTGGTCAAGCTGCTTTCTATTGGCTCAACCAGTGCCTCTGGAACCAGCTGGAGGATTAGTTTTTATGAAATCAAAGTTATTTACATCTGATTCTTGTGTATCCTCTGCAACACTTATCTCTTCTTGTGGGACAATGTTGGGAAGTCCTCTTCTTTGTTATTGGTAACGGTTCACCTATGCTGTCTCACTGGAAACCTTGTTTGTTACAGTGGTTATGGAGGCAGACAAGCTAGAAATGAGCAAAATGGAGCTGCAAAGACTGATCAGGGACCAGGTGCAGAAGACCCTGCTGAGCTCCCCGGCTCTGAACAAAAAGTACAATCTGCTGCGATCTCTGTTGAACAAAAAACAGAAACAAATTTACAAGCTTTCTACCATTTGCCAGTAAGTATTTTTCATCTGCTTCCTACTCCTGTTACTACTAGTAACCTTGTTCAGGTGGGTTTTGGCAAACGGAACAAAATAATGTAGATTTTTACATTTTACCTTGTTTTTCATAATCATGGATTTTAGGTGGATCACCGTACATTTACTACCTTTTATTATTTTTTTTCCTGTATTAAAATTTTTTAAAGTGTGTAGACTTTCAATTTTTAGTAAAATTAACATTTTTATATATAGTGATCTCAAACTAACAAAAATATTCATTAAAAAGTGAGAGTTTAAATGCATTTTTTTTAGTGTTTGCGTCAAATTCGTTTTCTACAATAACTTTTAATTTGACTTCTAATAGATGTTAACTACTTAATCCCTTTATTGATGCTTGGGTCAAGTGTTTTTTCCAGCTTCGCTTGCCTTTTGTTTAGAGGTAAACCAGTTTAATCCACAACCTTGTTTGGGGCCAGAAATTTAGAAATTATGCCCTGTGGCTCGTCACCCGGATTATCATAGGCCTGTCGCAATAAACAATAAATCAATTAATCGCATGATAAATGAAAATTATCGCCTTAATTTTCATTCATCTGCTTTATCATTTCTTCGTGTCTCTCTTTACTGGACACTGGTGGACTAAAAGCTCAACTCCGGTGCTCTTCACTGACTCCTCCCTTTCTCTTTATAATCTGTTTTAACCGTCCAAAATCTCGTTTTTGGATTGTTAAAAGCAGCTAAGCTATGAGCTAAGCTAACAGGCCGACCTCGGGGAGAAAAAAACCTCCGTCTTGTCGAAGCTCCAAAATTCACGGTTGAAACTCGTGACTTTGTGGAAAAAGTTTTTCTCTGCAAAAAGAAGCTGAGAACTTGTTTATTGATTTTTATTATTGTGTGAAAAATGCTATGCTAAAGAGCTAAAACTACACTGAGCGTCCGCCATTTTGATAACCAAAAAACAGGAAGTAGAGACAGCCCATGTCACATCAAGGGGCCTCCCTCCCAGTTTTCTTAGACACGCTGCTCGCTCCCTCACTATCCATCCTTCGGTTTAAACAGTCTTATACTGCCGTCCGGTGGTCGAAAAAAGGTACTACACGCAAAAAAAACAAAAAAACATTTCTTCTTAAAATTGACAATTATGAATTATTGTCAAATTTCAAACAATATTATCGTTTATCGCAATAATTTCTAAGACAATTAATCGCCCAGCAAAATTTGTTATTGTGACGGGCCTCGGTTCTCATCAGATGTTTGCACACCAGGACATTCTGATGAGAAATGAGCAACTGTCTGTTAGAAAAATATCTTATGAACCACAGAACAGATTTTAGAGAAACCTTCAAGAAGTGAAGCTCTGGTGAGCAATATGCTTTCTTTAAAGCTACAAGGAATTGTCGATGTGTTTTAGGTCTGTGGCAGAATGTGAAAAAAGTGTCAAGGAGCTGTACTCTTTACTGGAATGGGAGTACAACGATGAAGATTCTGGTGCAGCTGATGCCGAATCTACAAGTTGCAGTAAGTAATGGATCTTTTTTTTAATTCATAAAATATACATTTACTCACGTCTGAGTTCATTTCTAAGTCTAACCAACATGTTTTTTGTTTAAACAAAAATTAAACGTACTTTATCTGTTTTAGGACCCATACTTCCATTTCTGTTCGTTCCCTCCAAGTATAACATCATTGAACATTCATCTTCTGAGCCCCACTCTCCTCAGTCATCAAAGGCAGAAGATGGAGAGATTCAAGAGAGATGGGATGACTGTGAAAGCCCGATTATTTTAAAGAAAGAAGCAGTTGTGGTTTTGACTAAACTCAGATCAGATCAGGTCACTGCTGCCCTGTGTCCACCACCGCCTCAGCTTGACAACAGTGAAAATGAAAGCAGTGCCAATTCCGAAACGCAGTGGGAGCCAGAAAATGTCTCCAGCGACTCCGGCGACTCCGAATTTTCTGTATCGGATTTTGATACGAGACCAAGCAAAAAAAGAAAATTTAGCGACAGCATTTGGAAATACAAGAGGATTAAGCAACTTTCTCGAGTCCGAAACACTGCCAGGGCCACTAGATCGAAAACATCAAGACTCAGAGCTGGAACCAAAAGCAGCGCTGAGAGCAACAAAATGGAAACAACAGTGAACGCAACTCCAGATGATGATGCTGCAAATAACACTTCGGAAGCAATAGCCCTCCATGCAAACACGTCCAACGAGACCAGCACATCGGAGTCCGATGAGACCAAAACACCACAGTCCAACACGTCAAAAACAAATCCACAAGCCAACGCAACAAACTCAACGCCCCAGAGCAACACACAAACCAGTCCAAAGAGATGTCCAGTTAAAACATCCACGGTGCCTGCAGAGAATAAAAGTAAATGATCAAAAACTCCTTACAAACACAACTTTTAGTTTACCGAGACTTGTTTCTTTCAGTGGTTATAACCTCATCAGTCACACTCTGAGTTTGTTAGTGTGGTGTAGGTCATGGGGTGGTTGAGTTCTCTCAGACAGCTCGTTTAAATTGCAGTAGAGAAGATGAGTTTATAGCAGGCTGTTTCAACTATGGAGAGTTTTAAGTTTTACATCCTAAACTTGGAGAGAAGTAAAGCTCAGTTGCATAGTTACTATCACATTCCCTGATTATTAGCCGTACACTGCTGGTCAACACTTGGCTCTGAACAAACAAGAATTTATCACTTAAGTTTTACTGTTGAATTTTTGTTCTTTTTCTTCTGATGTTAGCGCCTCCTCCAAAACTGCCAGAAGTGGGGATCACTGTGAATATGAACGTCCTGGCAAGGAGGAGGACAATGTGCTGGAAACCAGGGAAAATTACAGAAATAATAACAAAAGGTATGTATTTAGCCACAGTCGTTCCCCGTGGGAAATATGGCAGTTGACTTGCTGGGTCTGATCTTGTTTCTGTCCGTTAGATGTAATTGTTACGTAGCTGCTTTTTTAGTGGAATTAAACCAGTCTATAATAGTGAAAACGTTTGACGATATGTGCACATTGTTGCTTTTGTTGTGTTGCATGTAAACAATTTAGCCGCTTTTGCTATTTCAGAAGACGGTAAGGTGAAATACAAGGTTGTCTTTGATGAGAAGGGGAAAAGCCTTGTGTCCAGCCACCACATTGCCCTTGACTGTACGCCAGTGGTGGACTACTTGGTTGTCGGTGCTCGTGTGGTGGTCAAGTGTCAGGATGACCAGCCTTACTTCAAGCCTGGTATACTGGCAGAGGTCCCAGGCAGGAAAAACCGCATGAGGTTTGTTGTTGTTTCTGATCAGAATCAAACTTTCCTTTCCATGTTAGTTTATTTGAAGTAACTGCAATATTTTACCTGTTAACAAACTGCTATTCATTTAGCTTACTGTACATGTAAGAACTGATTCATATAGATTCTCTTTTTTTAATTTTCTAGATTCCTGGTCTTCTTTGATGATCACACACCGCTCTATTGTGGCTTGCCTTTAATTCGCTTGGTGTGCAAACCATGTAAGTTTGGGTGGTTTTATTTCCCACTGTTAATCTGCTTGAACATAAAAGAAAATTTTGTTTAATCATCTGCAAATCTGGCTCATAGCAGTTTTTGTATTCTGTTTTTTTGCATTTTGTGCATGTGATTTCCACTACAGAATGATGCAAATAATAAAACTAGCATATCATTAGGCTGCAACTGTTTGCTTTATTTATACTGTAACTGGGTTTCTCAGTTAAATTCATTTCCTTTTACAGAATAATTATTCACCGTGTAATGCTAATTACGGTATGTCCTCATGCATGCTCAAAAATCCAGGTAGATAAATCTAACGACATAAGTCAGGTCATCTGGACTGATTCTTCTTTGTTGAAACGTTTCGTCTTTTATCCAAAAGACTTCTTCCGCCTGAGGAGCTGCAGCAAACTAGTTGTTCACATGCAAAAGGAGGACCATCAGCCTATCAATCGATCGTTAGTGCCCTGATGGCCGCTTGCTATTCACAGAGGACTGAGTGATGCAATATCAGCAATGTAAGAGGGAGACAGTTGATCATCGGGGAAACAAAGCAGCCACTGGCCAAAAAAAGGATGGCCCAGCACAGAAAAGCAACATCATCTGGCCAAGACTGTGCAGTCTACACTCATCTGCAGGCCAGTGGTCACGCTTTCACGGATGAAAATGGTCACATCCTTGATAGAGAGGAATGAAGGAGGCCATCTTTGCGAGGAGAACTCGTCCATCATTAAACGGGTGGAGGCCTCCGTGTTCAACTGTCCCCCTTACAATGCTGTTATTGCTATTATCACTCAGCCCCCTGTGAATAGTAAACAGCTGTCAGGTCACTAACGACCAATTGTTATCCTGATGGTCCTCCTTTATCATGTGAACAGCTAGTCTTGGCTGTCACCAGCAGACTGGTTGATCCACTGTGACAGGAGTGCCCACACTTTTTCAGCATGCAAGCTAATTTTTTAATTACCAAGTCAACGGGCTCTACCCCGACAAGACTGGCTGCCCTGTATGTCAATCAAGTAACACATTTCAAAATGAGGATAGACGATAGGCTGACGTCTATTATTTTAATGCCATGCGATCTACACATACCCCCTCTGCGATCAACCGGTAGATTGCGCTTGACGTATTGGGCACCCCTGCACTATGAGAAAGTGCAATTTACAAGACTGAGTTTATTGCAGCTCCTCAGACTGAAGAAGTCTTTTGGATAAAAGACGAAAGGTTTCAACAAAGAAGAATCGGTCCAGAGGACCTGACACAACCTTGTTAGAGCTAATTACAATAAAATATTTTATTTATCTATGCAAGGCCCATTTCACAATATGCTGCCATATATAGTTAAAAGACTGGGTTAAAAATTACATAAAAAAAGCAAAATGAATCAATAAAAACACACCACGTTAAAAGATTACAGAAACGTCGATTAGCTCATTGAGAGGTAAATATAAACCAAAAGAGAGCACCGTACCGAAAGTAATAAACTTTTCTTCAACTGTCAAATAGTTTTGAAGATTAAACAAATTCAAGTAGGCGCAGAATAGAAGTCCCAGCTGATTTTGTTTTACTTTCTTGGATTTATCGTGACCTGGATGACTGAGAATCTTCACTAGCAGAAAATATATTTTCCTTTGCATTTGAACGACGGTGTGAAAGTTAACCCTAAATAACTTGCCTTGCTTTTTTTTTTTCCTGTTGTTTTGCTACAATCTTTTCTGTGACAGTGGCTGACCCTTTGGATGACATTCCTGATGAAAATCACAGGAACTACATGAGAGGGTATTTGAACTCCTGGCCTTACCCACTGTTGTCGCATTACAGAGCTGGACAAACGCTGAATATAGAATATAATGGCGTTCAACAGAAGTGTGACGTCTTGGAAGTGGACAGCAGCTTGATTTATGTCGTTTTGTTGGTTAGTAAGGATTTTTAGATAACTTATAAATTGTTTATTCAGTTTTTTCCTTTCTGCTGGTTTGACTGAGTAGTTTCTCTGTTCCCACGCTTAGTGCGATAAACAAAAGGAGTGGGTGTACCGAGGCTCCATGCGCCTGGAACACATGGTGAAGTTGAGGAAGGAAATGCTGGTCAAAAAATGAACGATGAAAACAAGAACAAGTCTTCTCAAGTTAATGGTAAATAAATGTGAATATGTTTTGCAGATATTTGGTTTTTAAATTATTTTATTTAATAATTCTATTTTTTTTTTTTCCTCTTTGTTTTTCAGGACGTTGAAGACCCGAATAACTACCAGTAGTTTTAAAGTAGTACAAAGTTATTTCCTCCTTCGTATATTGGATGTTTGTTTTTTTCCTTCAGATTTCTGACATTTTATGAGGCATAAAAAACATTTGGATTCACATCTCTTGGTTTACACACTCTCCAAGCTGTCATTTTTTTTAGATATTTTTTATTTATTTTAATTTTACAAATGTATATTATAAACTACAGTTACTGCTGCTTACTGGCAGTGCTCATTGCTCCGCTCTGTCCGAAGAAGAATATCCTCAAATGATCACATTGAACGTTTTTATGTATTCTTTTTTACCATGTATGTGTGTTTGTGGAAAAGTAATTTTAGTCGTACTTTGTTCCAAAAACGTCGTGACTTGACTGGAGTTCAGACCCTGCAGGCTTCGATCACATTTGATAACATTTTCAAGCTGCTAAAAGTATTACCTCTGTGTTGTGAAATGCCTGAGAAAAATTCTAACATTTCATTTGGTTATTCGTTCACAAATGTATTTTTGGCATACTTGTTCAATCTTTAATAAAATTTTTATTTTTATTTTAAGTCTTAAAATGGAACTATTTTCACTAAAAAACAAGTTCTTGTATACAATAGTTAAAACACAAAACTATTAATTTTGAAACAAAAGACAGGAATTTTATTAAAACAATTTTTTTTAAACATTTTTACCTAAATCTCGTTTTTTTTTACAGTAATTCAGAAATAATTATTTGAAATAATTCAGCCCAAAACACTGACAGTTTGTACTGACAAATGACAAATTCCCAAAATAAAAGTTTTGTTACTTAAATTTTTACCAGAGGAAATTATTTATTTACTGTATTCATGGGACAATAAGAGTATAATATTAAAAAGTTATGACAGCTTTATATATATATTAGGGGTGCACCGATTGTAGTTTTCTGGCCGATCACCGTTTTCTAAAAAGTCTGACCTTCCGGTTTTGTCCGATACAATTTTGTTTTATAAGCTGCACGATCAGGTGTTATAAGGTCACAATGCACCTTCAATTTTCCAATCTTATTTTTTTTAAAACATACCCTTTAACAATATCCTAGAAACAAAAACTTGTTTAACTGGCCATGAGGTCGTGCTCTGAAATATAAATGAAGTTTAAAAAAATGGGTTTCTCATGCAAGTATCGGCCGATTTCCCAAAATTAAGGAAATCGGAGCCAATAAATTGGCCGGCCAATTTATCGGTGCACCCCTAATATATGTGTGTGTGTGTGTGTGTGTATATAATTTAAATCAAATTAAGATAAACTTTAAGCATTGCTTTGAATATTAAAACTGATGGTATTAAAAATTCCAAACAATGCATATATCGAGATGCAAAATTACTATATTTTTATATAAACATTCAGAATGCAGTAGTCTTGCAAATATTGTGCCTGTGTAAACAGTCTTAACATCTGTGGAAAAGCATCCTAGTTAAACATGTTCGTTATTTGTGATGACTCCAGTTGATAAGAATAGAATTAAGTAGAAAGCCAAAACATATAGTGTAAATACAAATGGAAAGTGTTTAAAAGTATACAACAGTTAATATGTTTTTAAATACTGGTAAACACAAATGAGGTCATATATGGTCCTTCTGAAACTGTGGACTTCACAAGGAACCCTCCCCCAACATAGGAGGATCTGCGATAGAAGTGGTCTCCAGCAACAAGTACTTGGGTGCACCTGAATGACCACCTCAGCTGGGGCAATGACACCAGCCTGATACTCGTCAGAGACTATTTCTCAGGTGGCTGAGGTGAGCTGGTCTGGAAGCTCAGTCCACACCTCTTTCTACAGGTGTGCAGTGGAGAGCATCCTGTGCTCCAGCATCAACGTGTGGCATGGAGGCTGCACAGCTGCAGAAAGAAAAGCTTTGCAGAGAGTGGTGAAGGCTGCACAGAAGACTGTTGGAGTCAGCCTCCCCACCATCACAGACATCTACACCTCCAGATGCAGAAAGAGGGCCACCTGCATCATGAAGGACCCCACTCACCCAGCACACACTTTTTGCTCCCCTTAGGAAGGAGGTTGAGGCGCATTGAGTGTAGAACCACTAGACTGAGGAACAACTTCTACCCTGAGGCTGTTAGACTCATGAATCTCTAACCAGAATAATCACTGTGGAAAAATCACATCATGTTGCTGCGTTTATTCGTACTCATCTGCTCACACAGACTTATTCGTGCTGCTCTTCGGCGTATTGTTTTTATGCTACTAGTGCTTAGTGGCTTAACGTTTTTCTTAGATCTTATTACTGTTTTTCTTTTTAATACTTTATTTGGACGTAACTGGGACCCTGTGTACACAATTTCGTTCCACCACATGTACCACGTGGTGGAATGCCAAATAAGGAACCTTGAATAAAGCTGTTTCAGGGAAGTATATTTGTCATTTAATAAGTGTAAAACTTTGAGCTCTTAAAAGCTGAGATTGCATTCAGCCCCTAATGCAATCAAAATTGTGCAAACTTTAGAATGTCAGTTCTACTATTAGGAACTTACTTTTGATTAGAACAAATATTATTGCTGACGTTTAGATTAAAAAAAGCGGTTTGATTATATGACACGACGGTCTGCCCTACCCGGACACTCAGCGCAGGGAGGCGTTGCGGACGCACTAGTTTGAACCAGAACTTAGACGGTGGAAAAAAAATAGCTCTTAGCGACGGAGCGTTGGGCGTTTTAGGCGGACGAACAAGATAGTAGCAAAATCCAAACGTCACCACGGACTTTTTATGGGACAAACGCACCGGGCTCGCTGCTAAAACGGTGAATATATTTTACAGTTTTAGGGGACCGTGCTACGGCGGATGCTAACTTTAGCATGTTCGCTAGCATAGTTGCTGTGAAGCTGACAAACGCAGCTAAGATGGCGGTCAAATTATTTACATTAGCTAGTTGCTAGCGGGGTTTGCTACTGCTGCTTCGTCGCTCAGTAATCAATGTAGGGCTTCTAAGTTGTTTTAAGAAAGTCGAAATATTTGATGCAATGGTGCCTAATAAAATTAATAGCATTAAGGGCATTTTTGGCGGTAATGTTTTGTGGTTTTAGTTCCTGAAAAGGCTCCTTGTTGGAATGTTAGCAAATGAGCTTAGCTTCTGAATCTCAAGGTAAGTTGAAGACACAGCGCATTGCTAAAGTCACAGTACCATAGTTATCGATGTGTCTACATCAGTTTGAAGCAGAATGCTTACGTTCAAAATTTGTAGTAAATAAATATGATCATGCAAGTTGTTTTTTAAACATCACTCTCTCGCTCCAACTGCGACTGTTTTTTATGTTAAGGCTGCCTGCTTCATTTTGACACAACGGTGGGGACGTTAGCTTTTCTTTTCGACTCGAACAGCATTTTTCCTCCTTCGTATATCAGTCTGCCACCCTCAGCTTATATCATTTGATTACAAATACTAATTTGATATTGGATAGCTGCATTCTCATGCTTTTCCTGCCAATAGAGGACAAAATGTCCAGGCCCTGCCTGATTAGGATTACTGCTGGATCAAACCCTCATTAAACCAACGCGCTTACTTTCACTCTTTAAAAAAAATTAAAAAAAGTTTTTGTGAAAAATAAGAGCTTGTTACTGTAACATTTATCAACACTTTAGGTTAATAAGGTTGAGTTGAGTCTGGTCCTCTGGATGGATTCTTTGTTGAAAGGTTTGTTTATATTGTGCTTGTCAAAAAGGAACCATTAAAAAAAACACTAGAATGCTTCATCAGTTTCTGCATTTCTTAAACAGATAGAAATGCTAACAAGTTGCACAATTATTTATTTAGAGCCACAAAGAAGTTTGTGCAAATAAGAGCTCATATTACGGTGGTGGCTACAATGAATGTTGTTTCCTTGTTAATCCTTAGGTTTGTTGCTCCCTAGAACTGAGCTGATGTCAAACTTTGTTAAATGCTGAGCAAAAAAAGTCAGTCAGGATAATCATCCCTCCATTATTTTTTTACCCGCTTCTTTCTTTCTGGGTCACTGGTGCCCATATCCAGCAGTCACTATACAAGAGGCGAAGTGTTACTTTTTTTAGATTTTTTTTTTATTTTTTACATGTAATCTGACACTTTGTTTTCAAGGTATGGAATGATTTTTAACTAGCAATTAATTTTGCATTTGTCTTTCCAACAAATCACCAGATGCCTCACAATAGACGGTACTCGTCTTCAGAAAGAGACAGCTGCCAAGATCGATACAGAGACAGGGGACGAAGACGTCGGAACAGAAGATCGCACACTAACTCCTCCAGTAGCGACAGAGACCGCGACAGAAGGGGTCGAGGGCACAGACAGGAGGGAAGCTATCTACGCTCAAGGAGGTATGTTTGTGGTGAGATTTTGATTTGTCTTATATTTTCCTAAAAAAACAGCTTGTTTTTTTAGGTTTGATTGTTTGGCTGTATCCTTTAATTTATTTCCCTAATTTTATTTGTGCAGCCGCAGCTATGACAATCGCTCGACAGAACATCGACCGTTTGATCGAAGGTACTACGAGGGATACAGACGATTGGATCAGAGCCGTGAGCGAGACCGGGATAGGGAGCCACATGGAGCAGCTGAAAGCTATTATCCACGTGACTTCTCCCCAAACATGTACGACTACCGACGTGGCCGTGAAAGAGAGCGTGAACGGGACGAGTCGTACAGACGGAAGGGCAGCAGGCGTAAGCACAAACGAAGGCGACGTAGAACCAGGTCCTATAGCCCTTCTTCCTCGGTGAGTAGAGCCAGGTCCAATGTGGTTCTTTAACTCCTCATCCTCTCTCCTCCTGTAGTTTCTTTCAGCTCTTTCTGTCTCTCTCTCTTTCTTTGTAACCATTTTTTCCTTTACAGCCCGTGGATTTGGTAAGTAGTACATTTTTGATTTGTTTTTGTCCTGTCAGCATTTTTTATTGGTTTTATTTGAATTTTTTTTAACTAAAATTGGCCACAGTTTTTGGCAGAACATTTTCATTTTTTAGATGTGCTTTAGTATAAATCAAATGTGACGCCCCTCCCCACACACACATCCACGGTGAAAATGCCACTATTTTTTGAAAGCCCAATTACACTTGGCCACATTTAGGTTTTTGTATTAAAAAGTACATAATATTCTCTGTAAGATTTTATTTAAATCTTTTAAGTATGGTGGAAGTTATTTATAGCATTTGTTTTGCCAGCCTGGAATGAAAACAAAGTGAAAATGTTCTCCCAAACTCCATGAGAAATTTAGATTTTAGCTGAATTAAGACTGAAGTTAGAGCCATATAAAAGGATTGGGGTTATTATTGTTTCTTTTTGTGTGGAATAGATTTAACCACACCTATTAAGTATCATTGATGTAACTGAGTAAATGGTTGAATCTGATATAGCATTAAAATGTCCTTCTTAAACAGATTTGATCCAGACATTTCATTTTCTATCTTGTTTATTCTGAAATCAACCATAACAGTTGTCTTAGTTTTATTACTGTTTTTCTGCCTTGATGAATGGATGTTCCAGTTGCTTCCTTTTTTTGTAAGCAGCTGTGGTTTTAAATTAGAGGGGGGAAGAGAAGCATAGGACAAGATGTGATCTTTGACTTGTTCCCTTGCACTATATCCCTATCGTTATATATTTCCTTCACGTGGTGTCATGCGTGAATCGCCCCATGACCATGAAACCCACCTTCAACTACTTCAACTACCACCTCCTCCTCCCTCCGCATCTACCTGTGCCGCCTGATGCCGTGGCTGCGGCTGACACTGAACCCCTCCCTCCCCTCTGGTCGTGTTCTGACCTGCTGATGGCGGTTTTGGGTGTGAAAACAGCGGAGCACCAGCCGGACGCGGGCACTGAGTGTGAGGGACGACGAGGAAGGGCACCTGATCTGTCGGAGTGGGGACGTCCTGCAAGAGAGATGTACTCACTGCCACTACTCTATCGTAACCCTTCTCCATATGAGTATTATCGTAGAGCATTTACATGACATGGGAGTGTCTGATGATGATGAAGCCTTGCTAGAATGCTCTTCACTCTGGCTGAAGAAGCAGGGTGAATTGCAACGACGTTGACGAATTTTGGCATTAGATAAATTCTGCTTCTTGTTTTATGATTTTCATCTGTGGAGCATCTTGTGTTTCACAGGTTTGATTTCCCTAAACATAGAATTCAATTTGTAGCTGTTTGTTTCTGTCGTGCTTTAGCCTAAAACTTACAGTTTTTACATCTGTAACTTAAGCTAGTTGTTTTCTGCTTCAGTGGATTTAGCGATTGTTATCGAAAGCTTATACACACCTAGCCTGTGTAGCCATTTTAATCAATATTAGCACAACCACAAATTTTTTATTTACATTTACTGATTCTTAAACATGTTGTAGAAATACTTTAAAGTATTTCTCAGTTTTAGCGTTTTTTTTTATCTTTGTTTAACAATTTATTTTAAAGAGTTAAAATATCCCAAATTTTGTCAGGATTTTCAGTAGTGATATTTTAGTCATCAGAGGAAGTGTTTCATAGTTACCTTTAATTTTATATATATATATATATATATGTATATGTATGTATATGTATATGTATATATATGTATATATATGTATATATATGTATATGTATATATATGTATATGTATATATATGTATATATATGTATATATAATGTGTACACGTAGCAAACTCACAATGATTGGACCTGATATTTTCAATAGGCAGCTTTTTTGTTTTTGAAAAAGAGATGGGTGCTAGCTGTGATTTGCCTGTCTACACTTTTTTTATACTCTATTCTTGCTAGAGTCCATACTAATGCTCCCGTACTTTCTTTCCCCACTTCCTTGTCTTTTTCCCTCTCTCTTTTTATTGTGTTGCAGATGAGATTGTCAGCACACTGGGGGAAGGCACCTTTGGGAGGGTGATGCGGTGCATTGACCATCGCAGGTGTGCATTAGTAGAAATAAAAACTTCTTTCAACCTCTGAGGGCTCTTATTTCCAAGACCTCATGTTAAGAATAGTTGTTGTGTTTGATTTAAACAGAAAGCATCATTGCACTTTATTGTGATTAGAATTGTAATAAAAGTTTGAACTCACTCCCAAGATTTTGTCTGAGGAAGAGGATGTCTGGCAGAAAGATGGTACTGTTGCACTAAAGATTGTCACCGTTTTACTTTAATGAAACTCTTTAGACTATTAAAAACTTATCCTGAATTTATTCTGCCTTGTCATAAAAGTACCGGTAGTTAACATATCCTGATGTATGCGCAATAATCCAGGTAGAAAATCTAAAAAAGTTACATCTGGTCCTGTGGACATTCAAAAAAAATTGTAGAAACGTTTCGTCTTTCATCTGAAAGACTTCTTCAGTCTGACCCGTAGTTAAGCTCAGATTTAGCTTGTACAGCTGTGTATTATGTCAGGGCTCAAATTATACTCAATTACCAAATATGTTTGCATGAATCGTGGTAGTGTGCCAAAAATGAAAACTGCTGTTTAGCAAACGTTGCTTGACAGCACGTATTTAATGTTAATGATTAATTCTAGGCATTTAAATCTTGTTACAATTACCAGTAAAATGTAATCAACTGAAGCAAGGGACTCAAAGTAATTGTTTACTTTTGCTTAGGTAGACCATGTTTAAATATTAAGGACAAAAGTGACTCTTATTTGTCTGTATGATGTAGTTTTTAATGTTAAATAATTGTAAACAATTATTTTTTAAATTTTTTGCTAGATTTGCATTAATAAAAATTCGTATCCGATTCCATTTACTGGGTTGTTTAAAAAGTGACATGAAGTAAATTTTATTATGCAAATTAAGTTTTATTTATTTAGAATTACTGATGCTATCCATCATTTTTGGACGTGCTGCTTTGATTTAAGATTATCAACTCGATTAATGGCGTTATATTCTTCATGCACAATTAAACAAAACGACTAATTCAAATATAACATTGATTTGTTGCACAATTATCTGTTCTTTTGGTTTTCATCATATACAGTTTGGGTTTTTGACTTTGCTGTGTTTTTGTTTCACAGGGGAGGAGCTCACGTGGCTCTGAAAATTATCAAGAATGTTGAAAAATACAAGGAAGCAGCTCGGCTGGAGATTAATGTACTAGAGAAGATAAATGAAAAGGATCCTGATAACAAATTGTGAGTAATAGTACCACAGTTAAATATACTATTTACACACATGTTCTGCGTTATCTGAAACCATGCGCATCACAATAAGGAAACTTAAACACTTATTTGAAACGTCACCAACCGAAGTAGTTTTGTTTGTTCAAATTAATTTGTCAGAACTGATGTTTTTTTTTAGCTGCTAAATGTTTAAATGGTAAAAAATAACACTTGGCTTTATAAACATTACCTGTATCTTGTTTGTCTTCCAGCTTGTGTGTACAGATGTATGACTGGTTTGACTACCACGGTCATATGTGTATTTCTTTTGAGCTGTTGGCTCTGAGCACCTTCGACTTTCTGAAGGAAAACAACTATCTACCGTACTCGATCGGTCAGGTCAGACACATGGCCTATCAAATCTGTCTCGCTGTGAAATGTAAGTCACTTTTGTGTCATGAGAAACCCCCAAAGAGCAACCGTGTTCAGTAATTAATGTTTTCGTATGGGTGGCTCGTTCACCTTTTGTGGTTCTAAAAATTGCTTCTTTTTTTAACAGTTCTACATGATAATAAGCTGACGCACACAGACCTGAAGCCAGAAAACATCCTGTTTGTCAACTCGGACTTCACAATGACCTACAATGTAGAAAAGGTAGGAAAACTGTAAAATGCGAAGATAAATAATAATTAATGTCCTCAACGTGTGGATTAGAGATTTAAGATGCTCCTTTGTTTTTCTCAAAAGTTTATTTTGTTCCCTATTGTGTTCAAGTTCTTTCTCGAGTAATAACTGTTGGATTTGTCTTAAGAATAGTTTTAATTTTGATCCTAATTTGTAACATTTTGTTAAGATTTATTTAATTTTTGTGGTCCCCTTTGAAACTTAAATAAAATTATGGTTTAAAATTGAATGTATTATTTGCAGATAAGTGTAGCTCGTCTATATGTTTCATGAATAAATAATAATAAAAAAAGCTTTCATTTAAAAAGTAAGAAGATAAAAGTAAAATTGCATGTTTCTTTTGCACATCTGCAAATTTGACGTATTTGGGTATAAAAAATAGTTTTTAATTTACTATGTCTGATTTATTTATTTATTTTTTCCGTGTCTTGCAGAAAAGGGAAGAACGAACTGTGAAAAGCACCGCGGTGCGCGTGGTGGATTTCGGCAGCGCCACTTTTGACCACGAGCACCACAGCACCATCGTGTCCACACGACATTACCGTGCCCCCGAGGTGATATTAGGTGAGGCGTGGCTGTTTGTGTTTATACTTTAAGAAGATGAGGTCCAAATATTTGACAGGATAAAAAGAAAAAGTCCATTGAACAGAAAAGCTGCGTAGAATCGTCCCGGTCTCAATATGTGATGTCTTTTTAAGACACATGACATTTTTCTGTCTGTTTTAGAACTGGGCTGGAGTCACCCGTGTGACGTCTGGAGTATCGGCTGCATTCTGTTTGAGTACTACTTAGGTTTCACCTTGTTTCAGGTACACAACAACGCTGTATTCTCGCTGGTTGTAGCAGTTTAATGAATTTAAACTTATTGTCCGAACATTAATTATTTATGCTTTTGTCTATGTTTTTATCAGTAGTATATGAAGTACCCACAGCCAGATATTTTTATAAAATACATGGAGTAAAATTTATTGGGTGTTATTTTTAATTCTTGTTTAAAGTTTGAAAAACGTTAAGGTGGTAAGCAGAGTAGCAAAAGCAAATTTAATGTTAGATTAATACATTTAAATGAACTAATCTGATTATTTACCTTAGGGGAGTGGTGGCTCAGAGGCTAGAGAAGGTGGGCCTGTGATCAGAAGAGTGCCGGTTCAACTCCCAGTACAGACATAAAAAAAATATGAAGCATTCACTCCTGCCTCCACCCTCATTTGCCCCACTCTGGGCCCTTGAGCAAGGCCCTTAACCCCCACCATCTGCTCCCCCGGGCGCCCTAGATGGCAGCTCTCTGCTCCACACAGAGGGCTGCGGTAGCTCGGTGCTCTGTGGTTGAGTCAGGAAGGGAATCCGGCGTACAAACATTTGCCAAGTCTTTGTGCAACTTAGTTCACTGTGGTGACCCCTGAAGAAGGGAGCAGCTGAAAGAAGAAAGGAAAAGATCAAGTTTGATTATTTACCTTAACAGTTTTATGCCCTCAATGATTCTTTTAAGTTATTGTGTAACCTCTTGGTGTCAAGCAGCTGCGACAACCATCAAGCCTCTAGAATGATTTATCACAGAGCACTTAACAGAAAACCAGATCACATCACTGTTACGTTTGTAAGAAACTTAACATGATGAATTTTGAAAAGGTTTTCAAATTCTCTAATCTTACGTTTATTTTTAAATGTTTAAATGGACAGGCTCCTCAGTTGCTCAACGACCTTTTGGTTCCTCTTAGATCCACGAGCTCAGTAACATGAAGCAGACAGTGGGAACTGTAGGGTTCCTTTTCCTAAAACTTCCTTGGGTCAAACAGCCTTTTCTGTGCTAGATTAATTTATGCAATTCTCTACCTACAGATTTGAAACTGACGGGAACTGTCATCATGTTTCCTTCTGTCTTTTAGACTCATGACAACAGGGAGCATTTGGTTATGATGGAAAGAATCCTGGGTCCAGTGCCCTCGAGGATGATTCGTAAAACCAGGCGAGTACACATGTAAAATACATGAGACAAGAACATACACGTGTCAAACAGCACTTGCTTTAACACTGCTCACTTAAACAGGAAGCAGAAGTACTTCTATCGTGGTCGTCTGGATTGGGATGAGAGCTCATCGTCAGGAAAATATGTCAGAGAAAATTGCAAACCATTACGGGTAAGTGGGAGGAAATCAATTTAATCAGACTGGAATTGAAGTCTCTTGGTACTGATGCCCGTTTCATTTTGTTTTTCCGTCAGCGGTACCTGCTGTCTGAGGCAGAGGATCACCACCAGTTTTTTGATCTTATTGAAAGCATGTTGGAGTACGAGCCCTCCAAGAGGCTGGCCCTGGCCGACTCCCTCAAACACCCTTTTTTTGAGAACTTGAGCATCGGTGAGGCAGCAGGCAGCAAGAACTGGGAGGGAAACCGGGACATCAGCCGGTGACCCACAAATTTTAAAGACTGAAACACGGGAGAAATAAAGTTCTTTGCTTCTGGAGCAGTTGAGCAATCGCATAATCTTGGACTTTTGAGATTTTGTTTTGTTGTTTGTCGTTAACGCATGGACTTCCTCACTTCCTGCTCCTCAAACCTGCTCCTTTCATGTTCACCTCTGCAGTCACGTGAGGCATGCTTTTGCACCAGAGAGACCAAAACACCCAGTTAATGGCTGGAAAAGACTCGTCAATCCTTTCTTGCGGTCACAGCTGAAAGTCAGGTGGAGAAAAAGAACATCTTAAATGATTTTCGCCCAAAGTAGCCGTCTATGCAGCTCCTGTCTTCCCTTTGACTTGTGAACACCTTTCTTTCTACCGTCGAAGAAAGTAATGCCTCTCCAAGGAAACGAACAGATCTACAGTCGTCAGATACAACTCGGTTTTGGAGCTGAACCCTCTCGTCCTGAAGTCCAAGGAAAGGGTAAAAAAAGGGATTCAAGCTGCATATTCAGCAAGTTCTCACCCGCATACTTTGAATTATGGAGAAATGTCATTTATTAATGTGAACTATTACGTTTCCTTGGATACTCCCAGCTGTCTCCAGCGTTGACGTGTCTCCCAAGTTTTGTTAACGTTGCTAAGTGAAAACTCGCGTTGCGTTTCTTTTTTTGTTTTATGTCCTGAAAAGAATTTGCCCCCCTCGGTGAAAATTGACCCAGTTGATGGCTCCTCTTGCTAGCGAGAAGACGGCGATGGACACTGCTCGTGCAGGCTCCTCTGTAGCCTGGCTTGTGGATAAATGTGTTTCTATTCTTCAATGTTTTCTAAGAGTGACGGTGTGTACAGTGATGAGATGGGTGGCACGTTTCTGTTTTGCGTTTAAGCAGTCGAGCGTCAGTCGTGGGAGAATTTTCATAAAATTCAAAGATCAAAAACATACACTGCCTTTTCCACGTTTGACTTACATTTACGTTAAGGTTAAGCACACTGCTGCTGGTAGTATTTATTTTGAGTTCCAGTAGGTCATAGGTCCCAGTCCCTTCCTGTTTGTGAATTTTTGTATCAAATGAAAGCATATAAAACTATATATGTATTATTGTGTAGAATTAAAGTCCTTTTTGCCAAAGGTTAATAGTGCTTTCAGTAGCATATTGGGCTGCTGGTATATAACTGGTGGTGTCCTGTCTTTAAAAACTTGTTGTTTCCCAGTCCATCTCTTTTTGACTGAATTGTTCCAAGTGCACGAGTTGCTTGTGTGCAAACAGGAAACTGACAAGTAATTCAGTCTTAAACGAAAAAACAAGTTCCTTTTAAATTTGGCCATTAAAAACGACTGATCATTTAAAAGTTATTTTTAAATACAGAGTTCATAATTTTCTCATCTGTAACTGGTTTATGGAACATTAAATTATTCCAGTTTCATAATTCTAGGCTTCCCAGTTTTATTTTCCTAAAGCTAAGCTGACATTAAGGCTTTTTATAATGGAACGGTTTTGTTATTCTATGCCAGCTTCTTGCTGGACACTAATTTCTATTTTATTCCCTTCCAAAACAAAGCTCGATCTTCACGCCATCTCCCGGAGACGGAGAAATGTGGATAATCTGCAACAGGTGTCCAGATGCACCGTCACACAAGCTTTCCCATCTGTTGGTAATGTCCTGGTTTACTTTTGCTTTGTTGCCCTCGTTCCTTCTGCTTGAAGCCAAGTGTTTCTAAGGGTTCGTTAGACCCCTACTCTGCTGTTTATATCTTAGACTAAATTAGATCCTTGCTAAATACTTGGCTTTGTGCTAAAGATAGCATAGAACTTGCCCTGCTGAACAGAAGCAGCTTGTGTGGTAACATGAAAGTTAACTAGGAACTGCGATGTGAGCTAATATGTTTTATGTACGTTAGGTTTGTAGCTAACAATCATTAATAGATTGATGCATAGAATTCAAAGGTTGTTTTTTTTTAATTCATAATTATAGATTTATTGTTCCAGTGGAAGTTTCTAAGCAGAATTTGTGACTATGTGGACAGAAAAGAAAACAAATCGCTCCATATTTGGAGGTTTTTTTTGTGAATGAGTCTCAGAGTCATTCATCTCTGTGATGAACGTGTCTCCAGTCAATGAACAGACGTCGTCGGGGTAAAACAAAGAAATCCTCTCTGCATCATCAAAGCGTCACGCCACCTTTGAGGTCTTTCCACCCTCCATCTGTCTGACTTCCGCTGACACCGTTTCACCAAATAATCTCGTTTTGAGTACAGTTCATTTAAACAACGACAAAAACGTCTTAAGTGGAAAGCGAGTACGTCTTGAAGCTGTTTGAACTGAAATCTCCAACTGTAAAGTTAAATTATAGAAGAATATTTCACTGGCTGAATGTGAACACGGGTTCTTCTTCCACAAGTCTGTTTGTTAATGAGATAAACGTCTTGTACGTTTTTAGGTAATCCGATTTGAAGGCTAGCAAGGTCATCGGTTGAATCCTCATAAGAGCAGCCTGAGAGACGTCTTAAACAGAAAGCCTGGGAGGGATTCATCGACCGGACGCCGCTTTTTCAGAAGCAACGCGCTGAATGTGCCAGATCAACCTAACAGGTCAGTCTTTTTTTCTTAACAATAACGTAAACGACTCATAAAAGATCAGTTAAGGGTTATTGTAATTCTCTTTTTGCAGGTTACTACAAATAAAAGCCTTTTTCTCTCAACAAACTTGTGTTTAATTCCGCATTCCGATTCTGCCGCAAAGCCAGGCAAAGACATCCATTAAACCTGCGCAGATCCACCCATCACGTTCTGGAGATGGAGTCCCTCTTGTCGCTGGGTGCTCCTCTGAAGCAGTTCACCAGCTGCATGTCCGGCAAAAAAACTTCCACCAAGAGGAGCCAGTCGGTCCGCAGATGCAGTTTCACTCGCAGGAAGAGCATCAGCAGGAGGAGAAGCCTCCCCTGCAGCAACCAGAAAGTCCCAGACTCCTGGCTCAGAGCGTATCAGGATGAACTGAAGAAGGAAAGGTACAGAAAGTTTCATCGTACATTTAAGCAAGTTTTTGACTGTTTTGATCCATTTATCAGCAGAGCATAAAAATCCCATTAGATGTTTTTTTTTTTTGTGTGTATTTTGACTGTCATTTATATTGACCCACCAGTTCCTGACCTTTGGACAGCCGTGGCGTAATAAGGATAAGGCTGTTGGTCACATGAATAAGCTGTTTGCCTGTGTGCCATGCCTAAAGTTGCTCTGTGCCCTTTTCCAAAGGAAACGTCAGCAAGCCATTCTAGCCAAGAAGAATGCAGAAAGAACTGTGAGAAAAACGCACTTCAGGAGCCACCACTGTCTTCCAAGGGTGAGAGAACCGTTTAAAATGAGTCTAATTCATTTGTTTGTCACAATGTGACGATCATCACCCTGTTTTCTCCGTGCAGCACAGCGCTGCTGCCAGGAAACCAGCACCAGTGAAGGACGAGTCCTTCTTCGGAGCCTTCCAGGGCCTCAGTCTGGACGGACTGATGGGAGGTGCTGCTGGGTCTCCTGTGTCCGCTCCCACTGCAGGTGGAGATCCGTGCAAAGTCATGTGATGTGAAACATTAAAGGACGATTAAAAGCTTGAAACGTTTTTCTCGCAAAGAAGACTTGGAGGAAAGGGATCGGGACTAAAAATGACTGAATATTGAAATTGAAAAATGAATTCACTTTGTGTAAGGAATGAAAACCGGTATGACGGCTTTATTCTTCCTTTGTAGCTACCGTTGTCTCATGTCTGATATTTTTGTACACCTGAGAAATCTTTTGACTGTCTGTATTTACTTGTTTGCCAATTAAAAACTATTTGTTTTATACAATGGTGCTTGAAAGTTTGTGAGTCCTTTAGTATGTTTTATATTTCTGCATAAATATGTCATAAAATGTCAGATTTTCACACAAATCCTAAAAGCAGATGCAGAGAATCTAGTTAAATACATGAGGAAAACGTACTTGGTCATTTATTTTTGAGGAAAATGATCCAATATTACAAATTTATGAGTTTCAAAAGTACGTGAACCTCCATGTGCAGCAATAACTAAACAACGTAACTTGATCAGTCCTGCACACTGACTAGGAGGAATTTTATCCCATTCCTCCGTACAGAACGGATTAACTCTTAATGTTGGTGGGTTCCTCACATTAACAGCTGCTTCAGGTCCTTCCACAACATCTGGATTGGATTAAGGTCAGGACTTTGACTTGGCCATTCCAAAACATGAACTTTATTCTTCTGGAACCGTTCTTTGGTAGAACAACGTGTGGGGTCATTGTGTTTCTGCATGACCCACCTCCTCGAGATTCAGTTCATGGACATGTTCTGACGTTCCTTTAAAATTCTCTGAGAATTCATTGTTCCATCAAGGATGGCAAGCCATCCTGGCTCAGATGCAGCAAAATGGGTCTAGACCATGATGCTACCTCCACCGTGTTTCACAGATGGGATAAGGTTCTTATGCAGGAATGCAGAGTTTTCCTTTCTCCAAACATAACACTTTTAATTTAAACCAAAAAGTTATTTATTTTGGTCTAAGCAGACTTTGATAGATCCCTGTTCTTTAAATCAAACAGGGTGCCCACTCACACCTGATCATCATCCCATCGATTGAAAACACCCAACTCTAATTTCACCTTCAAATTAAACACCATGTTCCTGTTTTTAGTATTCTACAACACCTTATAATCTGTTTTTGTCACATTTCCTTTTGATTGCCATTTTAACTTGTTAAAAAATTGCATTTTTTTTTTTGATTGTCTATTGTTGCCCACTGTTGTCATCACTCTGTTAAAAATTCAGGTCTCTTTTGTAAATGAGTCCCTGAGGCTCAATGGGAATAATCTGTATAAATAAAGGCTGAATGGAAAAAAAAAAACTGCTAATCCTACAGGTTCACATACTTTTACCACTCGCAAATATGTAATATTGAATCATTTCCCTCAATGAATAAATGACAAAGTATAAAAGTTTTGTCTAATTTTTATTTATTTTAATCTACTTTTGGGACGTGTGTAAAAATCTGATTGTTTTTGGCCATATTTATAAAGAAAATTCTAAAGTGTTCAGACTTTCAATCACTCTAGGTTATATATATACATCAGCCGAGTTTCATTTGAAGAGCTTGAAATCCAAAATGGAAGCTAACGCCAGTCAAAACATTTTATTTTTTTACAGACAACATAAATGGCAAATACAGAGTTTGGTGTTTTTATTTGAATACATTTGATGTGCTAAATCAATGGGGTGCTGATACATGAAATACTTCATGCATTTGACTAAATCTCAAGTTCCTACTCTGCATCGTTGGTTTGAAACAAGTCACTTTTGTTATGGACTCCACATTAAATCCAGGAAAAGATCCATGAGCCACTAAACCTCCAAAACTGGGCTGCTCGAGTTTTACCCTCAGCTCTGTAGATCGCAGCAAATTAGGCTCGTCAAGACCAAGCTTTATTTATAGTTTTTTTTTTTTTTTACAAAAAGTCAAACCACACAATTCTTAAGTTACAACAGTGGAAGATTCATCACCTTTTTCCTGACGCAAACAAAAGTAACACCGCTGGCTCCAAACCACAAATATGTACATTAGAAAATGAAGTACAAAACTATGTTTTTCAGGGAAAGTAACCTGGTGACTGACAATTACGCGCGACTACAAACAAGGTGAGGATACACGGAAAATGGATTTTTATTTATATAGACAGTTTTGCAGCATCATTCCCTCTGTTCCATCTTTACTTTGGGGGGCTTAAGGAAGGACCTGCTCTTTTTCTCCTTGGTCTTGCCTTTGGACTGGAAGGTCCTCCAACTGTCCACCCGCCCATCTCTTGATTCCTGCAAAATGTTACAGAACAAACAGGAATTAATCAAATAGCACATACCGGTAATGTCTTGAGTGTAAATAACACACCTCAAAGTTTTTCTGCCATTCTCGATCCCTCTTTGCTTTTTCTGCAGCCTCGATTTCCTCTTCTCTAGCCCTTTTCCTAGTTAAAGAAGAAATCCACGACATTTTGAATAAATATTAAAACTTTTAAATGAGTTCTGGGTGACAACTGGGTTGTAATTACAGGGTTATCTACCTTTCATGCATATCCTTTGCTTCCCTTTCCTTCCTCTTGATTTCAAGCTCTGCAAACAGCTTCATGGTCTGTTTATACACAGCTTGTTTAAACTGGGAGGAAAAACAATAAATTTAGCTCGATAAATATGATCAACATCCAAGGATCACGTTAAAATGTCATTTTGACACTGATTTGAGATGTTCAGGCCAACTCACTACTTCTGGATCGTCCTCCTCCACATCCTGTGATTTGCCATCCTTCTTCAGCTGTTTCTTTTTCTGCTTTACCTGGTATCAACAGAGAACACGACATGGACATTAAGCGGGTTTAGTATGAAGTAGTAACACCCAGATTATGTTTTTCATAAACCAGTAAAGATGCAGCCCACTAACCATATGCTCCACATATTCCTTTCCTGCTTGGACCACATCTACAGCTCTCTTCTTCTGCTCTGGCTCCAGCAGAAGTTTGTACGCTTTGTCTACAACTAAAACAGAAATACTAAATTATGTTGATGGGAAAAAAAAAACAACTAACTATTGCTTTATTATTATTATATTTAGGTGTGGCAAACTTAAAGCCTTTAATGCATACTGTAAAATCTGAAAATACATTATTTATACCTTCAAAGGCTTTCTGTGCTCTGTCAGGATCACCTTGATTTTTGTCTGGATGGACTAAAATGGACAGCTTGACAGTAAAAAATAAAAAAGATTAATAAAAATATTAAGAACTTGTATAGTGATGGAGCTAGTGGTTATATCCTCACCGCTCGAAATCTTTTCTTCAGTTCCTCGTCTGTTGCTTCCGGATCAATTTGCAATACCTGAAAATTAAATAAATTCTTAAAATAATCTTTTCTTACATTATATCAGGTACTGTAACATTATTAATAAATAAAAATAAGGGGGTTGTTGGGAGTATTACAAATATGAAGTTAAACGAACGCTGAAATGACTCGCTCAGACAAGACTAATACACCTTAAGTGGCAAAATTGAAGTTTTTTAAATCAGTTCTTATGTAAACACTTTTTCTTTTGACCTTGTTTGCTCAATTACTTCCTGAACATGTTTGAGTTAAGATTCCCAAATGTTTTGACTCAACGACATCAGAAACAAATGTTCTGTGCTGCTCTGAAAAGCAGACGATCATGTGATCACCTTTGTGTGTGTGTTCACCGTCAGAAAACCACGGCCAACTCATTTCCATTCAGTTAAGTTTTACGTAGCGCCAATTCACAACAAAAGCATTTTCAGGGCACCAACAATATTCACATAGAGTACATTATTAAACATCTATTAGTAAAATGTACTGACCTAAGGAAGGCTCTCATCTACGACACGTGTAAAGGATTTTAGCAAACACAAAAATGGCTGGAACTCAGTCATTTTTACAGATACTGAGACATTTAAAACTTGTGGCAGTAGCTGAGAGTCATCCCCAGTACCTAATCTGAGTGCTAACCGATGCATGCAAGCTGGTGGGCAATATATACATTAACACTAATTAATTTATCCATCATCTATTTTTTTTTTCCACAGAAACTGGGCAGTGAGGAAAGTCGGTCGTAGCAGATGGCCGCTTGTCCCGAGTCTGGTTCTGCTAAAGGTTCCTCATGAGAGTTTTCTTTCCACTGTCGCCTTCATGCTTGCTCAAGATGAGAGTTCCTCAGATAAATGGAGTGATTAATTTTATATATAAATGTTTCTGTTCAGTGCCCTGAGATAACTTCTGTTGTGACTTGGCGCTATATAAATAAACTGAATCGAAGTGAAATGAATTGAAAGCTTATTTGATTTGATTTCTAAACATGATTACCCTTATAAATAAAAGGTAAACTAAAAGAAGCTACGAGATTATACGTTTAATGCGCTGACAACAAAATAAAATTACCTCAAAGGGGTTGAGATTAAAGTATGATGATCCAGGTCTGAGCAGTCTGTCAATCTGCTGCTTGGAGGTTAAAACGGAGTCTCTCTTCTCGATCTGCTTCACCTGTCGAGATACATTAAGAAAAAAAGACCATGAAAACAAAATGTTGCGTAAAACTACGCTGCTGGTGATACAATACAATGTCACTTTCCTAAGAGTTTACTAATCTGAGGGCTGTGCTCATCTTTCCTGGGCCCTTCTTTGTTGTACGAATAGCTTAAAACGTCCGAGTTTAAATATACACATATTACTTGAGCAACTCGTAGCTATTTTAGTGGTTTGTAAGAGAAGTGTAGATGAATTCTGCCCAGAGTGTCTCACACGTTAGCATGTTGTCATTAGCTGAAGGCCTTCGTATCTGATGAACAAAGACAGCGATCGACTAAATAATTCAAGCAAGTTAACTGTCGCATACGGAACAATTAAAATTTTAAATTGGGTCAAAATCTATCACACCTCTGTGTAGAAGTTTTGAAATAATTCATCCGACACACTCTGAGTAGAAGGCTCTCCTCCGGCGGCCGCCATCTTCGCAAGGAGTTACATGTTACGTCACGAGTCACGTGACCGCGCCAACCGGCGGCACAAAGCCGAAAATTTGGGACAAAAATAACCTTGAAATGTTTTAGGCTCTGCGAACAAAACCCCGAGACATTAGCATTTGGACACGGCTCGACTGAAGACGTCCAGCTTTGTCTCATGCATTTAACACAAAGCTAAAATCCTAAGTAGGACCATATTGTGATTTAATTTACTGCAACGCTGAGTAGAAATCTGTCACCTACTTGATTATTTGCTTATTCTGCATTTTAAAAACTCATTTTAACCTTTCATGGTGAAGATTTAAAGGAATTCTCTGGAAAGTGTCCAAATTGTTTGTCCTTTTTCATTTCCACACAAACATCAAGTCTTCTTTAGGTGAGCAGGAGGTGAAAGTTCTTATAACGAGCACGTCAAGTGATGCACCGCTGCTTCAGCCCACAATTCAGTGGTTTCAACATAAAATACTGCACAGTCCATGATCAAAAGAAATACGTTTGCACAGATCAAGACATTTATTTCGGGTAATAAATGCTGTACAATCAAAAACGTTGATATTTTTCCTTTTCTTGGAACATTTCTCGAAGCAGGACGAAGGTGAAGTCATCTCAACGTGACGCTGGGGGCCGTGTGTGCTCCGTTTCTGCCCTAAGAGAAAATAAAGTATTCAAACTAGTGTTGTGAATCACTCATCTTTGTCTAAATGCCATATGCTAAAAATAACTATATTGAAAATATGTTAACGGTGTAGTCATTTCGTACCTTGGATCCACCACTTCTGGACTTCAGTCCATTCTGAAGAGTTCTGCAGAGGATCTGGTTTGCATCCCTTTGAGAAGTGAATGGAGCAGGAACTATAAACAAGCAAACAAAAAAAACAACTTGCTAACAAACGAGTAAATATTTCATCACGAACATTAACGCACATGATCAGAATAGATGCTACTGCTTTTAGCACATTGGTCAAATCTATGCAGAACTCACTTTATGGTAAATCTGACATCCAACATTATGGTTTTATTATTCAAGCGTCTTTCTGAGCATGAGTTAATATTAAAGCCTTACCACTCAGTCCCTTCCAATTCTGTGAACTCATTCACACGGATGTGGGCAGCTCCTTTACTGCCTGGTGACAAGAGGCAACATATAACAGTTCTGACATGAGCAGGACACTGAAGCAGGTCAAGAAGCTTTCTGCAGTTTCTTTTTGGTTCCTACATTCCCGTTTTACCTGTGAAATAATGCAAGAATCTTACTGCCATCTGGTGGTTTTAAAAAACAAAGACATCTGTGTTGAGGTGGGGCCATTGTTTGAAAATCAGCCAATGTATGAAAATTTTTCGTTCGGATTTCGCACTGAAATGTCCAAAAAACTGGAAATCATCCTTTGAAATTCTTATAGAACAAAACATTACGCCCAATCCAGCTCTTAAGGTGGCAGTAAATGCAGAGTAGATTAAAAATAGAAAACAATAGATTTGTTGCAGTGCTACCTCTAGTGGCGTACGAAGGGAAGCCCCCGGTTCTCCTCCAGCTCATCTGTGCAGACAGCGCACATGGTTTCCATCCAATTAGCAAAACTGTGCAGCGGGTGTTTGATTCAGATTTAGTTTGCTGCGACTGTCTGCCTTTTTCAATTTTATTCCAGTTTTTAAAAAGGTAGCCATTTGACTCCTACAAATGGGCGCGGCCCGTTTTGCTTTTTGGTGACGCAGCTTTTGTTTGGGGTGGAGTACACCATCGAATGGGTTTTAAATGACCCCAACTTTGTGGAAATTGTAGAATTCTTGTCAGTTCTGCAGAGCATGGAGGACGTAAATCACTCTCCTAGCACACAAAAATTGTTAACAGGAGTTTAAAAATGGGGAAAAGAAATAATAAAGTATGCTTTTCCAGAGATTACAGTTAACTACAGGAGGAGACAGTACTCTGTGCAAGGCTAGCTCACCCTTGAGTACCGTTCAGGTGAGTTCCTCACTCTAGTGGTGCCGCTGTCTTTGCTTCTCCACCTAGGCAGGTTGGAATAAGAGGATAGACACATGAAACAAAAAACAAAGTAATACCATCAGGTAAAGTTTAAAGACTGTTCTGTTAAGCCCTTCCTTGCTAAAGGTGTAATTTTAACCCTCTGGATGGAGATTCTTGAGGTCTTCAAAAGCAGAGAAAAGATGGTTGAAGCGATGTGCTGATTTTGGAAACAAAATTAAGTCAGCATAGAAACAAGAAACCGATTTCAAGTCAAACGTGTCCTTTCTGATTTTCAGATGACATCACCATTTTCCAAACTTGTTCTTGATTTTAAAATTTGCACGGAGTAAAACGTTCAATCCATCTCGGTCTAACTGCATCTAGAATAAAATTATGTGCCAAAACAAAGTGAGTTAGAAATCTATTCACATGCATTAGGAATTTGCAGCAACAGAATCTTAAATTTATGTAAATATTCAAGCTCTGACATAATCTTGCTCTGTAAATTGTGCTTATTCTCATCCTAATTAGCTAAGATTATTTACTGAAATTAGGCTGAGATTTACTCAAAACAGCTCCTCTGAGAAATGGGGAACAATCTTGGGGAATGGTAAGTGGTCACCTTTACAGAATACTTTTTATTATTGGAGGTAGTGATGAATGATTATTAGCAAAAATTCGGTGTGGTTGGAATCGTGGCAGTTTGAGCACACACTGAAGAATAATCCAGTTTGAGCACTGTATCATCCATCTTTGGTTCTCTTGTCCCATTTTCTGTGCAATTTCAGTCTTTTGCTGTTTTCCTTTGAAGGAAAAATTTGGCTTGGGGGGGAAAAAAGATGAGAATTGAAGTTATGAATCAAATCGAGTAGTGAAGGACAACACTGAATTTGAGTATTGGACAGTTGACTGATGCTCAGCTGAGTTTTATTGAAACTTAACAAACGTAAAAGTTTTAAATACAAATAACATCAGAGAACAAACTGCTATGGCTCTTAAGGTAAGCCAAACCAAATTCTACTGGGCAGGTTCAATGAAAACAAGGAAGTTATGGTATCAGTAAAACAGAAAACACAATTCGTCTACCTCTAGAAATGCTAGGCATACACTTTGAAACATTACAAAACCTTGATTTTATTCCTTCTTGTGGATTCTTTTCTCCACCATTGCAAAAGAAAAAAGAAGTATGAAGCTCTAACCATATGCATTTATTTACAAGCAAGTTCCTAAGCAACTACGAGAAACCACAAATTAAGGGAGTACATTAAAGGGAGGGGAAGATGGGGACACGGACAAAACTTTCTGCAAGGCTGTATGCACTATCTGATGTCCTCAAATTTTTGAAAATGAATGTCCAGTTTGTTTTTCTTTTTCTTTTAATAAATGTTCATTGTTGACTTTAAAATAACCAGGAACAAAAAGTAACAATAAAAGTGTTTTTGTATTTTCTTTTTTTTTTTTTAAACACACGTCCCAATGTAACTGTAGGAGGAAGAAATGATTCACCACAACAGTTACGGTCATTTCTTCAGCCAAAAGGATTTCCAGCCAATCATCTTGAGCCAATTCTGCAGTCTGTCCATTTTTTCTGAGATACATACAGATATTTTTTTTTCACAAGAGATGAAGAATAAGAAGAATAAAAAGTCAATCAAAAAATTGTGGCCAATCTCATTTTTTTTCTTTATATTGTTGTTTTCCTCTTTTTTTTGTTGTTGTTGCCAATACCTTTTGGTGCATCTACTTCCACTGTTGCCCATAAGAATCCTGTGAAAACTCCATGGTGTCATTACTGTAACCATAGTTACCGGAATAGTCGGCCCCCTGCTGCAGGGGCTGCTGGGCGATGGGCTGGGACCCCCAGTTCTGTTGGTTGTTGGTCTGGCGGCGCTTGGAGTCTGGCTGGTTAAACACGTCTGCCTTCCTCTTTCCGCCAACGTTCCCCCCGCGGTTGCCCCTGGCACCACGAGGACCACGGCCCCTCTGAGGCTGGAAAGGGGTTCCCCGGCCTCCTCGAGCACCTCGCGGACCACCAAGGGGTGGCCCTCTTTGGGCAAAGCCACCTCGGCCTCGTGATGGCGGAGCCCCGCGTGCTCTAAGTGGTGGAGGCCCACCCCTACTGGGGCGAGTGCCACGGCTCCTCATGCTATACACATCTTCATAGCCATAGTAAGGGTCCTCATAGCCACCACGGTAGTCATGATAGTCATAGCCATAATAATCATCATAGTAGTCCTCATAGCCATAGTAATCAGGGGGATAGGCATAGCCCCCCCTGCCACCACGACCCCTTCCTCGGCTTGGTGGTGGCATGCGAGGAGGTGGGTAATAGTAGTAGTCGTCATACCTGCAGAGTAAGAGTTGTATGCATTTGATGCTTTTCATGGAAATCAGTCAAGCAAATGACCAAATACATGGCTCTGTCTGACTCACCCGCCACCTCTGGTCGTCTGCCGAGCTGCTTGGCGCTCTTTCCTTTTCTTGTCTGGGGGCTTTGCCAAAACAATCTCTATTTCCTCTCCTCCTACCTCCTTTCCATTCATCTCATCCATAGCCTGACCATACAGTACAATTCATTACCTCCAGTACAGTAATTATTCACAAACAAAACACGAATTGACATTATAAAAACCCACCTTTACAGCAGAATCCCTATCTTCAAAATGGACAAAAGCATAGTCTTTCAACTTTTTCACTCGTTCCAGCTTTCCAAACTGAGAGAAGGTCTTCTCAAGAAGGTCTTCAGTCACAGTTGTAGCCAGCTTTCTTACAAAAAGCACCTTCACCTGTGACCAAAAAAAGGGCACTTTAATCACAAAGGACAGAGTTGGGTAGGCTAGGTTTACACAGGGATTACTAACTTTGGCCATGACTTCTGGGTCAGGTTCTGCAACAGGGTCAGCCCAATCCACCGTGACAGGGTTCCCCCAAACTTTAACCTTCCCACTCATTAGGCGGCGACGGGCCTGTGCTGCAGATTTGTGGTCCTCATACTCTAGGAAACAAAAACCACGGTTCTTCTTCTTGTCATCAGGCTGGTGATACAATATCACGTCTTGCAGACCCTCTGTAAGAGAAAACATCAACAGTGAACTAAAAACTAATGTCCGTTTATTAAAAACATTTTATTTTTTCAAAAAGGACTCCCTAAAGGAAATCCATCAATGTGCACTTTAAACAGACCTGTCACTTTGCCGAAGTCTTCCAGGATACTTTCTTTTGTCTTGTTCTTTGGAATTGACCCAACAAATAAGCGATTGTTTGCAACAGATATACAAACCCCCAAGTACTTGCCAGGGCGGATTTCATGGTTATCACACTAAAAACACAACAGAAATATATATATTTAAATGCAATATCCTAGTTAAGATTTTCACATAATGCATTATGAAATTAAAGAGTACATTTTTCAAGTTGAAGAAAGGTTTTAAATAATAAAAATTCCAATATTCTACATAAATTAGGCCAGACGATCATAAAAACACTCAATATGCAATATCATTGTATTGTTAAAAATTGTAACAGTGTTGCAACTTGCAATATGACTTATAAGATAAAACTACTCACAAGCTTCACAGCCTTTTGTGCATCGTCCTTATTGCAGTATGTGATAAAAGCATAACCTCTGTTTTGACCAGACAAGGGGTCCATCATTAATCTGAGGTCCCAGATAGGTCCAGCAGACTCAAAGAGAGGCACGAGCTCATCTTCATACAAATCCCTTGGGATTTTTCCAACGAACACCTGAATGAAGCAAGAGAAAAACTTGTTCTTAAGTTTGCCTGTCCAGTCTTCAGGCCAATGTTTGCAAATCTGCTTTAGAGCTGAAATGATATGACATTTTTAAATTTTATTTTAGGAATGACACCTAAATACGCAACACATGAACAAATAACTCCCACCTCTGTTCCAATTCCTGGTTGTAAGCCTGTGTATATCTTCTCAGGTGGTGGGCCTCCATATTTACGCTGCCCCGTAGTCACATCCAGAGTGTATCCTGTCCTATCCAACAAAGTCTAGCAAACACATACAAAGATAACTGCAGATGCTGTGCCTAATACGAATCCCCAATGCGCTTCAGTACTAAGTACCCAGAACATGATGGTTTACCTTGATTTTTGACTCATCTGGTCCCTTGGTGGATTCTTGCACCTTGTTTCCTTGTTTTTCTCTCTGTCTGTATGTCTTCATGACTCCACACAGGAATGCACTTTTATTCTGCAACGACAACAACAACAAAAAGATACATAATGCAAATTGTTCTTCAGTAAAAGTACATTTGGCGAAGTAAATATGCACGTGGATACCTGCACATGAGACAGGTCGCTCTCTTTGAATTGCTGCAGCACAGTAAGCGCTCCTTCTTCGTTGAACTCTCGCAGAGCATCAATAGCCCTCTCATCCAGGTCAACATAGGCCACCAAACCTACAATAAAGAGGCACATAATTGTACAATGAAACAACCACGAGACACAGTTCTTCATTTGGAGCAGACTTAAACAAGTTGTTCTCACTTACCTGTCTGGAAGATGTTATCTAGACTTTCAGCCACTTTCTGAGGCAGCCCTGCATCAATGAGCGCTTGGTAATTTTCAGTGTGTGTTGCTGTCACATCCATGGGTTCTTCTTCCTCCTTCGCTGGAGCAGAACTCCCATTCACCTCAGCAGCAGCCATTCTCCTGTAACAATCAAGAAAGAAAAATAAATCTTTACACAATGAAGATCTGTTGCAAGCAAGAAGTTTGGTGTGCAACAGATCGCTTTTAGGTGGTAGTTTTAGACAGTACTGTATTAAGCTTTTGTAGAGGGATTATCTATTGGTAGAACATTTGTTACAAATACGGTTTAACAACAAACAACGAGGTACTTGTATCCGTTTTGAGGGTAATTAAATTGTTAATTTTCTTTAAAACGAACCGATAGGCAGTCCCGCCCCCTTCACATCCAGCCCGCTAACTCGCCATATGAATGCGTTTCATTACTAACATTTATAATATCCAGAGGTTTAGACCAATTTAGTGGAATTTCATACCAATAAAAATATTATTTTAATTTTGTATACTGAGCATAAAAACGAGTTTCTCCACTCTGGAGAACGTTAGCGGTTAGCTTTGATGCTAACGGTCGAAGCTTACGTGTAGGCCTCGCCGTGCCGAAAACACGTTTCACATAAAAAAAACGCACAAAAGATCCAAACGAATAGTTAGCGAGACTCACCTTTAAGATTCGGGGAACCAACCGAAACGTGCTTTTGTGCGTGCAATTGTTAATTTGTTGTATGTACGAAAAAGCCTACGAAGAAGAAATGTTTATACGGAGACCACGAGACAATCTTTTTTCCCAGACAAGCGGTCTTCTCGTCGGCTCGCCCAGAACGCAGCCGCCCCGGAAACATCGCGAGAACTGAACGAGATCTCGTGAAGGGCATTGAGGTTTCGATGAGCTAATGCTACCATGTTGTACACGTGATTTATTCGAGGACGTAAACATGATCCCAGGCCATAGAAACGCAATTCAAATCGATCACGACGCGTAAAGAAACAAAACGTGTGACTTGTGCGGTTGATTTATTCTCCAGCTAATCTTTGCAGCATTTTTTTTTTTTGCTTCCCAGTTTATTTTTTTCCACAATTAGTGCCACTTTTTAACGCAGTTTTGATTCTTTGTTCTTAATTTACAAATGCAAAAATAGCTTCAAAGTATTTTAAGTTAAATTTGTGTTTACTTGCCTCCATCTGGTTCAAAATGCACAGTTTACACTAAAATATCAGCTGTATCCATCAGTTTTAGATTGCTGGAGCTTGTCTTAGTTTTCTTTTTCCCCATTTTCTTAAATCTTTATTTTTTTGTTTGTTTGCTCATTTGAATACAAGCCGAATTCACACATTTCAGCTAAATTAATTAAAGCGAGGACTAAACCAATTTGATGTTCAAAGCAGCAAGTGAAAAGAAGTTTGTTCCCAGCTACAAAGTAATGCAGCTTAGATGAATGATTATTTTCATAGAGTTAAATAAACTTGTCTGTACAGATTCAGCTCAAGTTTTATTATTCAGAGAACACTGGATAAACACCAGCCAGTTTCATAATGCTAGAAGAAGAATCACTTTTATTGTTTCAGCATCATTTCCAAGTCGGTATCTCATGACTTTCAGGACCTGCTTCGACAAGCTTAAAAAAAAAGTGATAATTACGGCCGTGTTTACAAGCGGTTCCACTCGGGTACTAATAAATGACAGCAGGCTTCTCAGCTCAGTCATCGTGCGAGAGCTTTCTGATTATGCCTTTGTGGCGGTCAATCTCTTTCTGTAGGCGCTCAATCTCCTTTTTGTGGTGCTCGATCTCTTCTGAGTGATGCTTCTTCAGCGCCTCCAACTGTTCCCACTCCTTCTGCCTGCAATCGAACACAAACAGGGTCAAGAGGAACACGAGAGACAGGTTTGAGCTTTCATGCCCCACTTCTCACCTGAAGTACCGCTCCTCTTCTGCTGCTTCTCGCATTCCGAACGCACCTCCTGCTGACCTCACGTAGCCTCCTCCACCTCCACCTTTTCCTGCACCCTTTCCCAAATGCCCAAGCTGGAATGACAATTATTATTTTTTAAAACAAATCTGCAGTTTATTCGACCGCCGTTTATTCGTTTGTATTTTTGGGTGTAAATGGGACCCCGGGTACACAGTTTCATTCCGCCTCATGTACCACGTGATGTAAATGACCATAAAGTGAAGTTGAACTAATGCAGCAAGTTATAGTAAAACGTAAACTGAACTATGCTTTCGAAGCTCTTTAGATATAATAACTGCAGAGTTGCAGGTTTCAAACTTGTTTTTTTTTTTTTACCTCTACTAAATAAACCAAACTGTGGTGCACAATCAGAGCATCAAAACCTCTCATGTTGTTCTGGCAATTCACTCTTTTACTCCACTTTGTCCTCTGATTATCTGGATGGACACAACTCGTGTGGTTTGGACAACATGGGTTAAGGTCAAAGTTCAACCTTGTTGCCATATATACACTCTGTTCATAACGAATACATTGGTTTCTTGTCAACGACTGCACAGCCTGCAACAACAGAGTTTATAATCTAGCTGTTTTTGCTACTTCTTTTGCAATCTTATTTTAATTTGTAAAAAAAAAAAAAATGTGTAAGCCTCTTTTATGAGTGTCTATTGTTGTCTTCGTCATCGCTCTTTGTTGAAATCAGGTCTCTCTTGTAAATTAGTCCTCGAGGCTCAATGGGGTTAACCTGTTAAATAAAAGATTGAATGAAAAAATCTACATGGTTTAATGAACTGTCCCACAATTCATAGCGCGTATTTATTATAATAATTATGGTAATTTGCAAACATGAACTACCCCACATTTGTTTTTAAAGGTAGGTTAACGGTTTTACAGATTACAATGTTTTTAAAAGGGCTTGAAAATCTGGGAGTAAATTCAGCTGGCACTGGCATGTGCATTCCCACGTGCATGAATGAGGGCGTGCGAGTGTGTGAGTTGGGGGAGGGGCGGATACAATGCAGGTCAGAGAAGGAAGGTTGTACACAGAAAATAAAAACAAACAGGGTCTCTAAACATACAGCGCACCCAAAATTCAACAAACCTTGAATAAAACTAAACGAATATCATAATAACAGATTACTTCGATCCAACAGGATGCACTTTAGTTGGACTCGAAACGTGAAGATGGCATGTTTTTAATGTATAGTGTACTTTAAAAAGAGCATTTTATTTGTTTGTTTAAAAGCAGAATCATACGAAACATGCTCAATTGATTTCCAATCGACATATTTATAAACGTCTGCATAACTGAATAGTTTGTAAAAAAAAAAATTAGGATGCAAACTTTCGATGCGACAGCTTTTGTTGTTGTTTTTGTTTAACCATACGTCACGGACAAATTCAAGCTAACGCTAACTACAAAAAACGTCACCAAACTTGCCTGTTTACCTGATCAGATGACATTCTGATCTGAGAGACAATGCACCTCCTCAGGCTTCCTGCCAGAAAAACTCTCGCCATGTCCCGTCCGACGCCACCAAAAGTAAGCACACAGATGCAAAACTTGCAAAAATGTCCCTTGCAAAAATGTCTGTTGTGTTGTAGTCCAAGAACCGTGCGTCAAAAAGCGGAAATTTGAAGTAAACGCTTGAAATGGGGGCGTGGCGACAGCGCTGTGGCGCGCATGTGTGCTCGGTGCTGCCACCGCCTGGTGAGGAGAAGAACTGCACTTGTCGTGTCCTGCGCTTTGATGTGCTGTAGATTGATTCTAATTTTAATACATTTTTACTTACAAACGGTTGCTCTGTTATTGTAGTTTTATTTTTAAAATCACACTGAAGGTAAACAACACTACCAGCTTGATCAAGAAAGCACATCAGAGACTCTACTTCCTCAGGCAGCTGAGGCGAGCTGGACTGGGAAGCCCTCACCTCCATTTATAGGTAAAGCTAAAAGCTAAAGCTTTGCAAAGAGTGGTGAAGGCTGCACAGAAGTCTGGTGGAGTCAGCCTCCCCACCATCACAGACATCTACACCTCCAGATGCAGGAAGAGGGCTACCTGCATCACGAAGGACCTCACTCACCCAGCACACACATTTTTTGCCCCGCTCACCGCAGGCAGATTGTCTAGGAGAATTAAGTATAGAAACACTAGGCTTCTACCCTGAGGCTGTTAGACTCATGAATCCCTAGTCAGGATTATCACTGTGAAAATTACTGAAAAAAAAACTCACTGTGAAAAAAATCACTGTAGTACCACTTGGTTGTTGATATGTGCTGCTGATTATCCATGATGCTGATCTCATTCTGCTGATTTATTTCATGTTGCTGTGTTCATTCGTCCTCATCTGCTCATACAGACTCTTGTTTGTTCTGCTGTTGTTTGACACATTGTTTTGTACTATTAGTGCCTAGTGTATTCTTACTTTAGTGTATTCTTAGTTTAGCGCATTTCTTAGTTCATGTCTTGGATTGGATCTTATTACTGTTTTTCTTTACAAATTGTATTTTTGTTGGATGTAACTGGGACCTTGTGTACATAGTTTCGTTCCACCTCATGTACCACATGTGATGAGAATGACGATAAAGAACCATTGAATCCTTGAATTAAAACACAATTTTATATATATAAAAAAACAAACTATCAAAGGTCTTTTTATAATTTCAAATACTGAACATATCTTCTCTTTTTGCATACAGTGAGTTTTCATTGTTTTAATGTTTACTTATGATTATTTTAGCCATTTTCTGTAAATGGTGCCATCAATACAGCATTTAACCATTAAAAAGTGATTTTGAACTATTTCCCTTAGACACCTCTTTCTTCTTAAGTTCAAATCTATAATTCATATTCGCCAAAAGACCAAATGTTGCCATCATACTCATCCAGATTGTTTTAAACAGTCCTCATTGAATTTTTTTGACACATTAGATAGCCTATATTCTATATTGTAAACAACTTTCAGTTGCTTTTCAGACAAGCTGCGTGCTCAATGAAAGCCTCGGTTACAGTAACTTGGAAACTTTTGTCCTTTCATTAAAAATGGCAAACTGATGCACTCAAGCACATCTATTTTCATAATGATTGCACAAGCAGTGTGTAATTTTTATGGTCACATCGTTCTCTTTTCCCAACACATAATTGACTTTGACATGTTGCTTTTAGTTTCAATCGTCAAAAAATACATTCACAACTTATTTCACCTTTTCAAGCATGCACTGAGTCAGGAACAGTTGCTGGGTCGAAATGAGCAAGAAAATGTGCTGTTGCTATTGATGACAGCTTCAGCTCTGATGCAGTTATACTGACGTTTGAAGCAATACAAATTATTTACAGGTGCTCTGATCTCTCAAACGCTGCATGAGACGTGCTCAGCAGCACAAAGGGAGGTTTTGCCCGGTGAAGATCGGAGGTGGGTGTTCAGTACAGATGAGTCATATTGGAGCTCCATCGATGAAGAGCCCCCCTCCCCACCACCACCACCCAAAAGCCTGATAATGCACAGTACTGCATGAGCTCATCCCTGATGAGCCTGTGTTGTCGTCTGAATCCTGCACAGGTGAGGGTCAATGAGTGAGCGTTGGCGTGGGGCTTTTGTGATGACGTGCTGCGTTGTGTCGAGCTACTGAGTCCAGCGATGACCCTGATGATGGTGGAGGTGCTCGCTGCTTCACTGCTCTCTGCAGCATCATTGGTCTGCACCTACAGAGAAGAGACACACAACTTATAGTCTGAGATAGGACATGTGGGTTCTTGAGACAATACTCCAGCAATTTGTTTTTGTTTTAAGGATTAATTAAGAGGCTTATTTTAATAATGCTGAGTTAATTTCCTCACCAGGAACAGGAAGTAACATGAAGTAGTACTGGTGATGCAACAAATGGTGGCAGTGTGCTCTCACACAGATGGAGAGCATCTTCGGTCATCTGCAGTGGTGGGATGTAACTAAGTACAAATACTTTGTTACTGTACTTAAGTACATTTTTCATGTATCTGTACTTTACTTAAATAGAGTTAAACATGGGTACTTTATACTTTTACTCCACTACATTTTACATCAAGTATCTGTACTTTCTACTACACTACATTTCTATAACGCGTTGCAATACAAGTTACATTCATGTTGCGGCTTTTTGATTTGTTTGTTACTTTGAAAGTAACCAATGGCGAGAGGGGAGTTGGTCCATTGAATCACTGCAAAGTGGACAGGTAACGTTAGGCCCACCTTCAAGAAGAGCTGGGTCAATGACATATATTCTAGTATATATGTCACTGAGCTGCGTGCACCCACAGCACCACTAACACACCCAAAATGTATTCCACCGCAAGAGAGTCAGCCAGAAGACATGCTCCACCCATGGCCTTATTGAAAGACTGCTCAATACAGCAGGACAGATTCTCTCTCCCAAAAGAGCCAGACTGGACTCAAAAATCTTTGAAAACCAACTTCTTCTGAACTTGAACAAGAAATTCTTGCTGCGATATTAAAATGTGTCAGTTCATGGATGTTAAGAAAGGAGACAAGAGATGTCTCCAAATGGCTCGACACTCAGGTCCAAGTTTTCAAAATAGTGTCAGAAAGTTAAAATATTGTTCAATGTTGACCCATTACAAGGTCGACTAGACAGAATTTTAACTGGAGTTGAAATGATCAGTGGAAATGATCAGATATTCCTTTGTTAGTTGTGTCTAATGCTCCTTTTGTTCAGGCAGACAACTTTTATTTAAATGTGTTTACTGCAGTTAAAACGACACATTGTTTTTTCTCTGTGTTAAATAGAAACTTTCAAAGTTAAAATCATTCCTCTTTCTTATTTTGATTAATGGCATTTAACTCTGCAGGTCATCCCTGAAATTCTGACACAGAATCTGTGTCAGAGTAAACACAATAAAAACATGTATTATCTGCAGCATCGTTCATTAAAATGGCTCAACACTATTAATGTATTACATAAAATATACATATGGTGGGCACACTTAAAGATATGTAGACCATTGCATTATGTAATACATTCAGCAAGTACTTTTGTTTTTAATACTTTAAATATTTTAAAAGCAGGTATTTACTTAAGTAAAAATGTTAATGTGGTACTTCTACTTTTACTAGAGTACATTTTTGTCTGTTTATTTGTACTTTTCCTTAAGTACAGTGTTTGAGTACTTTCTGGTCATCTGCAACAACTTTAGGCCAAACTACTCCTGTGTTTTATCACAGCATTAAAATTCAACATGCATCTCTAACATATTTGCTGTTTTAACTAAAACACTTACAGATGTAATAAAGTAAGATTCTGAAAGAGTCCCAGAAGAAGAAACTTTACTGACACAGTTGCAGCTTTTGTCAGTGGTGGGGACTTTAAATTGATGTTGTCCTCTGCTGCATTGAAGCAAATCGAGAGCTGTTCTCTTCTCGTTTCAAATGGGGAGGGAACGTCTCCCAGTTTACAGAGAGGTAAGTGTAGCAGTGCAGCAACATTTACTGGGTAAAAGACTGCGATGGCTGCAGACGTAGTCAAATCTGCTGCAACCAAGAAATACAGCATGCTTCAAAACGAGACAAATACTACAAGAAACACAAACTTTATATGTACATGTATTATAGTAGCCCACTGCCAAAAAGAGTAGGGGATCAGATGTGCTCTTGCTCATGTCTATGTGTGAGTTTGTCTGTTAGCAAAATATCTCTTGAACCACATTTTAACAACATTTTCAGGATGCAGTCAATGGATATACATATGCAACCGATTAAAGTTTGGAGCCAACTCAACTGAAGGTGGCCATCACAGACAGCTGACCTTAGAATATACAAAAATGGCTTTAACTCAAACAATTTGACAAATACTGAGCTAAAATTTGTTGTGGTAGTAGCAGAGACTGATTCAATAAATATATTCAGAGCTCTAACAGATTGCACAAGATTTTTTTGTTAAGTATTTGGAGTTAACTTTGTCTGTCTGTTAGCAAAATATCTCATGTACCACTGAATGGAATTTAACACAACTTGCAGAAAGTAATCACTGGATGTTCAACTACAACTGATTCACATCTGGAGTTGCTCTGATTCAGTATGGCCACCACAGCTAATCACTGGCCAACACAAAATGTCTATAGATCAGTCAGTTTTGCAGATGTTGAGCTATGGTTTGAGGTGGTAGTAGCTGAGAGTCGTTCACAATATACATTTACATAAGTTGTGCATACTGTTATTTTCAACAGCGATAGTTTAAAGGTTTTAGCTTAAAACCTTGGAATGAAAGGTGGCGGGCGATATGCATTCCTTCAAGGAATTATAGATTTTTAATTTAAATATGCTTTTCTCTAAACATCCAAACCTTATTTTGAGGACTGCATTGTTTTTACAGCTGTTTTTCTTTTTTTTTTTTTTTTTTTTCTGGCTCAGTTTTTTTATGCTCATATATGGAGTTCCGGTCCACGAGAAGCACAGCAGCCAGAAAACGCTCACCTCCATGTGCTGCAACAGGAACCAGCGAGCAAAGACACAGTAAGGTCACACTGGTAACATGTGCTGCAACGCTGCTGCACGAAGAGCTTTGCTTCATCATCTCTCCTGCAAGGGCTTTCTTTTAAATAGCTTCTTTTATCCACTTACATATTTTTGTATTCTTCATATTTTATATACATGACTCCTTTAATAGCCTTCAGGCTTAAAAAAAAAATCAT